GGCCTCATGAATGCAGGTTTGAGAACCTTTTTCTTGAAAGTCTCAACTCTTTGGAGGGGGCGGCCTCGTGGATCCCCCTTGGGACTCTTAGCAGGTTTAAGAACCTTCTTCATGGAAGTGTCTACTCCTTGGAGGGGTCGGCCTCATGGATGCCCCTTGGGGCTCTTGACAAGTTTAAGAACCTTATTCATGGAGGCCACTCCTCCTTTGATGGGTCGGCCTTATGGATGCCCCTTGGGGCTCTTGGCAGGTTTAAGAACCTTATTCATGGATGCCTCTCCTCCTTGGAGGGGTTGGCCTCATGAATACCCCTTGGGGCTCTTGTCAGGTTTAAGAACCTTCTTCATAGAGACCACTCTTCCTTGGAGGGGTCGGCCTCATGAATGCAGGTTTCAGAACTTTCTTCATAGAAGTCTCTACTTCTTGGAGAGGGCGGCCTCATAAATGTCCCTTGAGGCTCTTGGCAGGTTTAAGAACTTTTTTCATGGATGCCTCAACTCCTTGGAGGGGGCGGCCTCATGTATGCCTTTTGAGGCTCTTGGCAAGTTGATGAACTTTTTTCATGGATGCCTCTCCTCCTTAGAGGGGTCGTCCTCATGGATGCCTATTGTGGCTCTTGGTAGGTTTAAGAACCTTATTAATGGAGGCCTCTCCTCCTTTGAGGCGTCGACCTCATGGATCAGGTTGAAGAATCTTCTTCATGGAGGCCTCTCCTCCTTAGAGTCTTTATGGAGGCCTTTCCTACTTAGAGGGGTCGGCCTCATAGATGCCCCTTGGAGCTCTTGACAAGTTTAAGAACCTTTTTTTATGGATGTCTCTCCTCCTTGGAGGGGTCGGACTCATGGATGCAGGTTTAAGAACCTTCTTCATGGAAGCCTCTCCTCCTTGGAAGAGGCGGCCTCATGGATGCCCCTTGGGGCTCTTGACAAGTTTAAGAAGCTTCTTTATGGAGGCCTCACCTCCTTGGAGGGGTCGGCCTCGTGGATGCCACTTAGGGCTCTTGGCAGGTTTAAGAACCATCTTCATGGAGGACTCTCCTCCTTGGAGGGGTCGGCCTCATGGATGCCCCTTAGGGCTCTTGGAAGGTTTAAGAACCTTTTTCATGGAGACCTCTGTTCCTTGGAGGGGTCGGCCTCATGGATGCCCCTTGTGGCTCTTGACAGGTTTAAGATCCTTTTTTATGGAGGCCTCTCCCCCTTGGAGGGGTCGGCCTTATGGATGCCCCTTGAGGCTCATGGCAGGTTTAAGAACCTTATTTATGAAGGCATCTCCTCCTTGGAGGGATCGGCCTCATGAATGCAGGTTTGAGAACCTTTTTCATGAAAGTCGCAACTCCTTGGAAGGGGCGGCCTCGTGGATGCCCCTTGGAGCTCTTAGCAAGTTTAAGAACCTTCTTCATGGAGGTGTCTACTCCTTGGAGGGGTCGGCCTTATGGATGCCCCTTGGGGCTCTTGACAAGTTTAAGAACCTTATTCATAGAGGCCACTCCTTCTTTGATGGGTCGGCCTTATGGATGCCCCTTGGGGCTCTTGACAAGTTTAAGAACCTTATTCATAGAGGCCACTCCTTCTTTGATGGGTCGGCCTTATGGATGCCCCTTAGGGCTCTTGACAGGTTTAAGAACCTTATTAATGGATGCCTCTCCTCCTTGGAGGGGTCGGCCTAATGGATGCAGGTTTCAGAACTTTCTTCATAGAAGTCTCTACTTCTTGGAGGGGGCGGCCTCATGGATGTCCCTTGGGGCTCTTGGCAGGTTTAAGAACTTTTTCCATAGATGCCTCTCCTCCTTGGAGGGGGCGACCTCGTGTATGCCTTTTGAGGCTCTTGGAAAGTTTATGAACATTTTCCATGGATGCCTCTCCTCCTTAGAGGGTTCGTCCTCATGGATGCCTATTGGGGCTCTTGGCAGGTTTAAAAACCTTATTAATACAGGCCTCTCCTCCTTGGAGGGGTCGACCTCATGGATCAGGTTTAAGAACTTTCTTCATGGAAGCCTCTCATCCTTGGAGGGGGCGGCCTCATGGATGCCTTTTAGAGCTCTTGACAGGTTTTAGCACCTTCTTTATGGAGGCCTTTTCTCCTTGGAGGGGTCGGCCTCATAGATGCCCCTTGGGACTCTTGACAGGTTTAAGAACCTTTTTCATGGAGGTCTCTCCTCCTTTGAGGGGTCGGACTCACGGATGCAGGTTTAAGAACCTTCTTCATGGAAGTCTCTCCTCCTTGGAAGGGGCGGCCTCATGGATGCCCCTTGAGGCTCTTGGCAGGTTTAAGAACCTTGTTCATGGAGGCCTCTCCTCCATGGAGTGGTCGGCCTCGTGGATGCCCCTTGGAGCTCTTGGCATGTTTAAAAACCTTCTTCATGGAGGACTCTCCTCCTTTAAGGGGTCGGCCTTATGGATGCCCCTTGGGGCTCTTCACAGGTTTAAGAACCTTTTTCATAGAAGTCTCTCCTCCTTGGAGAGGGCAGCCTCACGGATGCCCCTTGGGGCTCTTGGCAGGTTTAAAAACTTTTTTTATGGAGGCCTCTCCTCCTTGGAGGGGTTGGCCTCATGGATGCCCCTTGAGGCTCTTGGCAGGTTTAAGAACCTTCTTCATGAATGCCTCTCCTCCTTGGAAGGGTCGGCCTCGTGGATGCCCCTTGGGGCTCTTGGCAGGTTTAAGAACCTTATTCATGGAAGCCTCTCCTCCTTGGAGGGGTCGGCCTCATGAATGCAGGTTTAAGAACCTTCTTCATAGAGGCATCTCTTCCTTGGAGAGGACGGCCTCATGGATGCCCTTTTGGGGCTCTTGGCAAGTTTAAGAACCTTCTTTATGGAGGCCCCACCTCCTTGGAGGGGTCGGCCTCGTGGATGCCCCTTGGGGCTCTTGGCAAGTTTAAGAACCTTTTTCAGGGAAGACTCTCATCCTGAGAGGGGTCGGCCTCATGAATGCCCCTTGGGGCTGTTGACAGGTTTAAGAGCCTTATTAATGGATGTCTCTCCTCCTTAGAGGGGTCGGCCTCATGAATACAGGTTTAAAAACCTTCTTCATGGAGGCCTCTCCTCCTTAGAGAGGGCGGCCTCATGGATGCCCCTTGGGGCTCTTAGCAAATTTAAGAACCTTCTGTATGGAGGCCTCACCTCCTTGGAGGGGTCGGCCTCGTGGATGCCCCTTGAGGCTCTTGACAGGTTTAAGAACCTTCTTCATAGAGGTCTCTCTTCCTTGAAAGGGTCGGCCTCATGGATGCGCCTTGGGGCTCTTGGCAGGTTTAAGAACCTTTTTCATGAAGACCTCTCCTCCTTGGAGGGGTCGACCTCATGGATCAGGTTTAAGAACCTTCTTCATGGAAGCCTCTCATCCTTGGAGGGGGTGGCCTCATGGATGCCTCTTAGAGCTCTTGACAGGTTTTAGCACCTTCTTTATGGAGGCATTTCCTCCTTGGAGGGGTCGGCCTCATAGATGCCCCTTGGGACTCTTGACAGGTTTAATAACCTTTTTCATGGAGGTCTTTCCTCCTTAAAAGGGTCGGCCTCATGGATGCAGGTTTAAGAACCTTGTTTATGGAGGCCTCTCCTTCTTGGAGGGGCGGCCTCATGGATGCCCCTTGGGGCTCTTTGCAGGTTTAGCAACCTCTTTTATGGAGGGCTCCTCTTCATGGAGGAGTCGGCCTCATGGATCCTTGGGGCTCTTGACAGGTTTAAGAACCTTCTTCATGGAGGCCTCTCCTCCTTAGAGGGGTCGGCCTTATGGATGCCCCTTGGGGCTCTTGGCAGGTTTAAGAACCTTCTTCATGGAGGTCTCTACTCCTTAGAGGGGGCGGCCTCATGGATGCCCCTTGGGGCTCTTGGCAGGTTTAAGAACCTTCTTCATAGAGGTCTCTCCTCATTTGAGGGGTCGGCCTCATGGATGCAGGTTTAAGAACCTTCTTCATGGAGGGCTCTCCTCCTTGGAGGGGGCGGCCTCATGGATGCCCCTTGGGGTTCTTGGCAGGTTTAAGAACCTTCTTTATGTAGGCCTCTCCTCCTTGGAAGGGTCGGCCATCTGGATGCTTCTCTTCCTTGGAAGGATCGGCCGTCTCTGACGTGGCAGCGCATATTTTCCCACACAATAGAAACCTTCTTAGTTTTATAACAACAGGAAGAAAATATGGAGTGTGACATTCTGAAAATTTACTACAGGTTCAAGCTTAGAGCTCCATAAAATACTAGCAGACACACACAATAATAAAGAAGCCAAATACATTGAGCTATGGAGCAGCAAAAGGCAAATTATCAACTTATGACAAACACCATGAAACAATCTTTCCATGCTGCCAAATTCTAGTAGTAAGTTCATTTGTTTCATTTGCATAAGCAAAACACAAGCAATCAAAATATTATCTTATACAGCTTTATTGTTATTTTTTTTGTCCACTTAGCATTTTGATATGAATTCTTTTTCAAGAATGTTCAAAAGATAAGTCTACGTGATAAAAATCCATACACAGTTACATAGCAATAAGGACCGGATCAATGCTATCAATTAATCAATAAGCATTCACGCTACAACTGGAAGAATAAAATCTTGTTCAAAAAGAGCATAAAGCATCTCAAGTAACCCTTTTTATATCACACATAACAAGAAGAAAGAATGGGTCCAAATTCACCATCTGAATAAATAAAGAGGTACAGTGAAAAGGAAAAGCTAAATTGACAAGGTAGCCCCTAAACCGGGATAGGTATAGAGAACGCTAATTCTACCCTTTTTTTTTCTTTTTAAAATCCAGAAATCACCCTAACCCACTTTGTGAGTCTTAGTTTCAAACTAGAGCTTTCCGTCAAACCCTACAATCTTTGGAAGGGGGGACACTATGACTTTTTTCATGCAAGCGCGCATGAGGTGGTTCGAACCCCAGACCTTGTGGGAGCAGGCCAAAGGCCTGACTATTCCAACCAACACCTCATGGGTAGAACCACTACTTCATATTCCAACTTCTAAGACGAGAAGTTAAAGTTGATACTAAAATGGTGGGTAATAAGTACCTTTTGGAATTGCTCTTCTCTCGTCATTATAATGAAATATAGCAGCCAGACCAACAAAACCTAGTAGAGCACCTGGCTGCAGAAAAGATGCACCAACAAAAATAAGAAGGATAAAAAAAACAAAATTATAAGCCTCTATCCAAGAATCTAATAAAAAAGTTGGACACTGCCGAATCTGTCACTTGAACTTTTCACAATTGGAAATTTAACGACTAAACTTTTAATTTTGGAAAACTACCACTGAACTTTATAAAGTGTTGGGAAGTACCCCCCAAACTGATGACAGCGGTGAAAACTTGGACAAAAAAAACCTCAAACACATTACATGAGGTCGTAAATGTTATGCTACACAATTTTCGAATGACAATGAGAGCACATCATGTCATGTTGATGAAAACGTTTCCTTTCAAATTTTAAAATTATTCATAGATTCGTAGGCACTCGGCACTCAGCAATATTTTATTAAATAGAAGGATAATTTGCCAGTTAAAAAGTTAGGAGATAAGTTGCAATTCAGTCAAATTCAGGGGACAAAAGTGCCAAAAACCCAAAGAACTTTCATGTTCCTTTGCATTACATTTTCGCATTAAAAGATATTGTGATAGCAATATGAAGCAGGAGATAAAGGAGGAAGGCAACATACAATGACATAAGTACCCCAAGATCGAGGAGCTTGTATATCTACATTCACTAAAGGATTACTCTCTGGCTTTCCATTACCATTTCTTGATGATTTACCATAGTTACATGACTGAATCCTCTTCGATGGACCAAACCTACAAGAGACTCAAGTTGTTTAATACACATTCATATATCATAATATCAATCAGAAGAACCATGAACGGACTTTCTGTAAATATTTTGCTACAGGGTATTTTTCAAATCATTAGTTCCAAAAACAAGGTTTTTTTTTTACCCAGTTCACAAATTCACTACCAATTTCAGTTTCTAACTAAAATGTGTTCATATATTAGCACAGAAATGAACAAAAAGACAGGTTAATGAATAGCTAAATCTAAAAATACAAGCAAAAATTAATCAAAAATAATGAAATAAATTAATAAGGCCAAGTGAAGAAATCTAAAACCACATATAATAAATCAAACGGGGTAAAGGAACAAGGAGAGCGGAAAGGGGTTACCTTCGAAGTAGACTGAAAGCCTCACTAGAGCGGCGTTTGGAGGAAAAGAAAGGAAACCGAGAAATGGGCATCGTGTGCTTGGGAAAACGGTCTCATGGGTTTCTCGGGAAAATGGTTCCTTTCAAGCAAAAATCCATGGGATCAGCTGCTAGAGCTTATTTCGCCTCCGGACATTGCCTTCTTCTCCAAGCTTATTTTATTTCCCTCTGCCTCTACTGTCTTTTTTTTTTTTTGTTTTTTGTTTTTTTTTTTTTGTTTTCCCTGCCTTTTCTGGGTATTAATATCGAACCCTTCCTTACGTACGAAACCCAAATGGCCCACTTAAAGTGGATTCTGCTTGGGTTCTCGATCTTGGCCCGGTTAATTAAGCCCATTCCAAATTTGTAATTATCGTTGGAAAAAAAAGTAAAAAATAGCACTCAATAAAAATAATTGTAACTCTATTTAAAAATAAATAATTATTTAAATAATAAATAAAAAATTAAAGGTCATAATGACACTTAATTATTTAGAATAATATAAATAATAAGTCTGCACAAAATCATATTAGAATAATATAAATAATAAGTATGTACAAAACCATAACAACCCTCATTTTTTTTCAACCATTCATCATATAAATTTCGTTTACAACACATTAACTAATGAGAAAAATAGACTGAAAACTTGTTTTGTTATTGGATTTTAGCATAAGAAGGTTTAATTAAGAAACTTGTCTCTGCTCGGTATTTTTTTTTTTTCCTTTTCTGATAGAAGATTAGCTAAAATTAGGATTATTGATGGACTTATATGTGTACTTATTAACTCATTAATGCAGATGTTTTCTGCATATACTGAATTGTCATTGTTAGGCATCTCTAATAGAATGTTAAATTAGTGTTTCAATGTTAAAGTTTAGCATTTGAGTAAGAAAATTACTCTTTAATGCAATGCTATTTTTTGTGTTAAACTTGTCATATTCTATATTCGGTGACAAATTTACCACCAAGTATTGCAAATGGGCAAATTTGACATTTAAATGCTATTAGTTGTTATGTTTACTTTTTATTTAATTACAATAACATTTGTACAATTAAATTATTTTAAAATTAAAAATTTTATTTTTGTAATGTCCAAAGTTTAATGATTAAGAAAAATTAGATTTAGAGTTTGAAATAATATTAGTATTGAAGCACAAATGAAAATAACATGTTAAATATGTCACACATTTTTTTATGCTAAATATGCAATTAGTATTATCATTTTGTATCGGAGATAATCTTTCGCTAATTAGTATTGTATTTAACAGGAACATGCTAAAAGGCACCAGAAATGTTTTATCACCATACAGAAAATAAGTTCACCCATTAAATAGGGTCAATTCTCTATTAATTGTGGTGCTCGATACCAAGGCATCTCTATAAGGATTTCCATTGTGTAGGTCAATCTCACCAAATTTGTGATAACAACTATTGAGCCGTGGGGGAGATATGATTAAATCTTACATGAAGCTTACAATAGTACTTCACTATCGCTATGCAACTATTCAGAAATGTGCGATGGATTTGAAAACGTAAAGAAAATGTCGTAACCATCGGTTCCTAAAAGGCAACAATCAAAAGGTTTTAAGAGCACGTTTAGTTCTAAGACTTGAAGTTGTAATTCTGATTTTACTCTCTAATGAAAAAATTAAATAACAAAAGCTTTTGTTAATAAGTTGTCGTACAAAATTTAAATTTAGAATTAAAGTCACTAATTTAAACATGTGAACTAAATAAGTCTTAAACAGAACTAGTGTCTCAACAAAGAGGCCTTTCTAAAAATAACTCAATAGGAAAATTTTATTAGTAAAATAACTTTTTAAAAATTTTTATTTACAAAATGACTTTCTTTTAAAATATGACAATCTCTCTCCTCTCCACTCTCACTCCAGACTCGAAGGAGGAGGAGAGATTTGTCGTCACAACGGAGGCGAGCATCAGAATGTTGACCGCCGAAGGCCACAGTGTTGCTCTTCTGAATCTGGCCGTTCCGTCGCTTATTTTCAGAGAAACAGAACCCATCTTCTTCTTGTTGTTGATTTCTTTTCCTGCTCCCGCTTCTTCTTGGTTTGGATCTGTGAGCGACAGAGTGAGATTTGTGGAGTAGAGATCTAGAAATAAATAAAATTAAAATTAAAAAGTCATTTTCTTAATTTTACTTTTTCACTTAGTTATTTTAACCAAATTCTCCTCAACAAACTAATTAATTAATGGTTCTTGTAAATTTATCTTTCAGATAATATTGACTTAAAGAAGATCGCCCAACCTAACAAATCTTGAGCTAAATATATATGTATAGTTTTATGTTTTTGTATTATTTTAAATCAAGGGAACATACAGTTGAATTAATATTTTAATTGTTTGATTTTTAAATGTCTACGTTAATAATTTATAATGCGTGACATAAAATAAAGTCAATATAAACTTAATTAAACTATTAAAATAACAGCATGATTAAAAAGGACAAATTTTACCTTAGAAATTCCCCTAAAAATATAAAGAAAATAATGTAAAGCATCTTATAGACAGAAATAAATCCGCAAGTGTCCACAAATATGTACCAGCTATATAGCTAGAGTTAATAATTATGCTATGATATATACGTGTGTGTGGCTTTTTATTTGTGCTCTTAAAATACTTTTGGCTGTTCAAGAATAGTAACGCCTTCATTGGTGTGTACTCATATACGCCAGCGCAAAGTAGTGGTCTTCGATAGATTACTCATCCACTGAATTTTGTCGTTTAGTGCATTTATTTAATATTTTTTATTTATTTTCTTTGCTCTTCTCTTGAGGCTTCTTGAGCCGTTTCCTTATTGGCCTTTGCCGTCCCTCCTCTGCTCCTTTTTTCTGGGTTTCCAAACTCTCCTGAGTTGCAGATCTTTTTTTTTTTTTGCGCTTTAATTAGTTGCTGGTGTTTTTCTAGCTGCAACCTGCGCGACTGGATGAGACAATTGCTGGAAGGTGAGTCCTTCAAACCTGTATATTTTTAACCTTAAAATTATAAATTTTGTCCACATTTAATCGATCTCTTTTTATTACTTTCATGTGGATTTGGGGTTTGCTCTGGTGCAAATGGAGAAGTTGTTGATTTCACTATTCTCAACTTGTCATGCTTATTTCATTGTGCAAATTTGTGATTATTTTTCTTTTGTTCATTATTTTACGGTAACTTTTGTTTCGTTCGGCTTTTTTCGTTTTTTCCTTTTTTTTTTTTTATAAAATCAATTTAGTACTCTAAAATTATAGCCAAACATATTTTTATTATCATGTATTATTTATAATGTTAAATTTTATAATTTTAATATTTTAAAACTGATTTTTAAGATATAAAATATTTTTTTAACACATTAAAATATAATTTTAATATTATAAAAATACAGAATATCAAAATAATTTTATCCATTTTTATGTGCAGTATTAGACATTCATTGTACGTAAATATTATACGGGCTACAAGGGCTTTTTTTTTTCCGTTCTTTTCTTTCTTTTTTCCTGCTTGAAGATAAGTGTTGGGTTACAAATTGTGGAAGATTAAATCTTGTATTCTCTTCTTTTCTCTTTGATTTACCAACCAAATTTATTCCTTAATTACTCAGAAACGGTTTCAAGCTTTGGCTACAAAGATTTCCATTTCTTTCTCTCTGAACCGTCTTTATGTCCAAAATGCCTAAGTCGCCAACTTAGAGCTTCAAAGCAATTTTTAAGCTTTACCTTGTATGGTTTACTTTTTCGTACATTATTCGAATGTTTTGGCAGTTAGAAAAATGGCTTGGTAAACCATTTTGAAGTACCATTTTAATACTTGGATTTTTTTTTTTTTTTTTTTTTTTGTGAAAATGAGACTTGATTTTGGATAGAACCCATGTCGTCTCAGTGACGAGTCAATAGGTGAATATAGATTTATATTCTCTACTATAAGAACATCGAAATTAGAAGGGATCTTGTCCTATATGGGAAAGAGAGAGATATTGTCAACACATGAGAAAGAGATAAAAGTCATCCTCTCTTTATATCCTTGTAAAAGGGATCCCCATTCCTGATTTGACATACACTAGAACAGAGCTTCTTTTCCTCTTAAAAATTCTTCCTCACTCTCAAGTGCTATCTAAAAATACATTATTTACTGCAGTTGTTTTATCCGATTTCAATGGTTTGAAGAGTAAAAGAAGAGACAGTTCTCGAGCGCTCTAACAAAACACAGACAATGGTGGCTCTGGCAGCGAGCATATCGGCAATAGCCATGGCCTCAAATCTCTGCTACTCCAAATCGGATTTTCGACGAACAAAGCCGGCGACGAAAGTTATGAGTTCAACAAAGCTAGCCATCCAAAATCCACTTCGCTTCTCATCCCACAATGCAAAAGTGTCTCTCTCCATTCGAGCTCGCGACCCACAAAGAGACAATGATGATGTGCAACAAGTCACCAACAACACTGCTTTCATTTCTCAGGTCCCTCTATTTTATCTCTGTTTCTCTCGACAATTTCTTTTGAACCGCAAATTATAGGCAGTGATGAGAGATTTGCACTGTCTAAAATGACGTTTTAAACGTATAGTAAAATTTTAAAAGTGACAAAAATTATATCATTAAAATAATTATTATGTAGGTATGCAATGCATAATGTGATATCGTTATGATAATTACTGTCATTTTTGTTATTATTAATTATTCTAAAAAGTGAAAATTGTGCTACATTCCAATTCCACCTTAGTAATTTTTTGTCATTTAATAGTAATTATTTCTATCTAAAATGCATATTTTATTTGGTTCTACAGAAGGATTTGGACTATTTGTGGAAATTGGTAGTTGGATCTGTAGTAGGTGCTGCTATAATAAAGTATGGAAGTGTGGTTTTTCCAGAGATAACAAGACCCAACATCACGCAAGCACTTCTCATGATAGTAATTCCTGTTGTTGTGGCTGTTTTGCTTTTAATAAATCAAAGTAGCAAAGAAGAACCAAGCTAGAAACTTTGTGCGAACTTTTGCTACTTCAGAATCATGTACATGACCATATTCTGATCAAAAATTGCCTGGACTATGATTCTTCAATTTCAAGATAAGAGAGTTAAAATCAAGTTGTGGATGCAATAGTTTATTATGTATGTATTTGCTGGTTTACCAAATCTACAATTAAAATAAATAAAAGAATAATCTGCTGCTAGAGCATATAACAAATTTCTCCAATACAACGTTTAAAAAATTCAACAAATCCTCCGAAGCAAAGGGTAAAATTTTCAATAAAAATAGTATTATTTCGTAAAAAAAAAAAATGCAAAACAAATATTTAAATAGTATTTATTGAGCTTACTCAACAAATCCAAAACTTATATAATTAAACAAAGACGATGTTTGGAAAATTCAACAAATCCTCTTAAGGAAAGGGTAAAATTTTCAATCAAAAATAGTATTATTTTGTAAAAAATCCAAAACTTGACAGGTTAAAGTGATCTAGCACAACAAAAGATCTCGCGGCCTTGTCATTAACACACGACTGGTGAATTTGAACATGTCAAATTAGTCGTCCTACTCGACAATCAACCAAACATGTTGGCTCCTTTTTTCTTGATTATATTTAGTTTTGAGTATATGTTTGAAAAATGTACATAATTAATTGCTAAACAAATATTTAAATAGTAATTATTGAGCTTATTTTTGGTACTTCAAAAAATTTGAGCAATTAAAGGGTTACTTTTTTATTCTTCTGAAAAATGTAAGGATAGTTTTGGAATAGTCTGAAAACGAAGGGAATACATTTTGAATTATAAAAAAAAAAAAAAAATGAGGGTAAATGTTGGATTTAGCCAACACTTATGGAGTACTTTTTAGATTTTCTTCATATATTTGCTGCAAAGATAAGACTATTAATTTTAACGTAAAGTTGAAATCTGTAGTTCCATCCCTATACAAGAAAAGTACTTTAATTACTTATATAATAAGGTCCTTCTACGCTAGGGTTTCATATACTATTTCATATCAATAGTATAAGTTTTTTATCATTATCTCTTATTAAAATCACATTAAAATAAAAAAATATTCTGAATATATAATTTTGATACATATATGGCAGCTGAAAAATTAAGTCCTACAAGTAGAAAATTTGTACAAGTCCTATCACAAAAATCTCCATATAATAATTAGACTTAAATTTTCAATATAAATCCAAAATAATGAAGATGTTTGACCTCATCTGATTACTCGGGAATTCAAAAGCCTCAAGTTCGGTCTGATCGGGTAGTTTCGCGTCTGTGACTATGTGAAACTCTTGAAGTTATTAAAAATAATCAATTTTCTAAATTTTCTAAATCTATGAAATTCCTAAACCATAGCTAGATACTAGGGTCTGTTTGGTAAGCAAGTTTGAAATATGGTGGTTTGAAATGGAAAGTCTGAAAAGTGTGGTTTGAACTAATGGTTCAAGATGACATTTGGAAATCAATTGATGTAGAGGTGTCAATTAGGATGGCTCGACCCAGCCCGCTACAGTACAAGATTTGACACAGCCCAGTCTTGTACTGTTGCGGGCCAAGCTAGCCCAACACTCCAAAAGGGTCAGAGTTGGCCCTCATCTATGAAGTCTGTGGCCCAGGCACAACCCAGGTACAGCCCAGGCCCGTGAAGGGCTCATGCATATGAAGCTTTGTATTTTTTATTAAAAAGATTAGAAAATAGAAGTAATTACATAAAATGTCAACTATAGAAGCCTTGAATCTAAAAATGTCTACTATTATATAATATTATAAAAATATCTACTAGTGTTTAATAATATACGTATAATACTGGTATGCTCTTATAGCTTATTTTGGGTATGTCCCATATATGGTGAGTTTTTGTATTTCATGAGCTGATTATTTTATCTAATAATATATTACGTGCTAATTTTTCTTTCCGACCTTAATTAACGTTTTATTTTTTTGGGCATATGATATTACGTATTTCAATAAAAGCACGTCTTTTTTGGGCATATGTTATTACTTCTTTATTTTTTATTTTTGTCATTAAATCTAAAAATATAAAAGATTAAATTTTAAAATTATCAGCCGAGCAAGCCCTAAAGGGTTGACTCTTTAAGGTCTTACTGGGCTTTTAGTAGGGCCGGCCCTAGTCCTAAAAGACAAGGGTTTGAACTACGGCTGAGCCTGGACTGGGCCTAGAGAGAGATCCTAAGGCCCAACCCTTTACTATAGAGGGTTGTACCAGTCATGGACCAGGGGTCAAAAGGACTAGGCCGGCACGGCATAACCCTTTTGAAACCTCTAACTTGAAGTGTGGTTTGAAAAGTGAATAAAATATGAAACTATGTTCGGATGTGTTATTAAAAAATGTCTTTTTTTTCTTTTTTGTAAGAAAACATGTGAGTTTGAGTCAAAAACATTGTGGGTGCATTTGGAATTAATTTTTACTTATTTTTTAAAACATTTTTACACGTCTTTTAAGGCACGAAACTGAAAACGGTATGTAAATTGTGTTTGTTTAGTAAATGTTTTCAAAACGAAAAAAAAAAATAGTGAGAATGTTTTTTGTAAAGGAATTAGAAAACGATTGAAAGTTATTTTTTCTTTTTTGTTTTCATTTTTTGCTACTAATCAACAATGTCATAAATATATTAATTAATAATTATAACCAAACACGATTTTATTTTTTTATTATACTCAAAATAATCTCTTAAAAAATTAACCAAATACAATTTCAGAATTAGTCCTAGAATGATTCTCAAAACAATCTCATTTTTATTATCATTTTGAAAACGTTATCAAATGGGACTTGTGCATTTTAGTTCAAAATCTTGAAAACATGGGGTGGGGAGCATTGATTTTAAGATTTGAGTTTCTTTTTTGGTTCAACCTGTCACATCAATGGTTTGAAATAGGCCTTCAAATCTAATAAACATTTGCTGCTCAACCCAAATTTTGATTCAGAACACTTTGAACCACTTCAACAAACGGGGTCTTAGCAAATGTAGCGAAAAAATAAAAAATAAAAAATAATAATAATAATTGGTTGCACCTGTTTATAATGTCTAGATATGGTATATAAATTTTATAGATTTAGCAAATTTACAAAATTTTTCTGTCTCCAAGAATTCTTGCAAAAAATTTTGCAAGTAAGCCCCTAGCCCAAGGAACTTGCACTTCATCATAATTACTACTGAATAGAAACAACCATCAAATGGTAGTTACTTCCATTTTGGAATTAACTACTGTATTCACATGCAAGTTTGAACTTTCTTTATGCCTATGTACAGTAATATATTTTGCGCGGGCAGAATAACCCCTCTATTTTAGTTCTGTTGCAGGGAAATCCCAACCCCAACAATTTGAACCAGGAATGGCAATATTTCCTGTGGAGATTCGCACCAAATAAAGTGGGGATAGAGGATAACAATCGGAGATGGGAATGAAGATGGAGATAAAATCTTGTCCTCGAATCTTAATAGGACGAAGACGGAGGAAGTATTCCCCACTTCGCCCCCGCCCCGATATATATATATGTTATACACAATATACTATATTTTTATATAAATATACATGTTGGAGAAATTGAAGCTCTCAGTGTGCCAATTGGAAAGTTAGATAAGAGTCCCACATGAAAAAGAGACTAAAGCTTGTTGAAGTTTATAAGAGGTTGCACCCACAAGCTTGGGTAAAAATGTTCACCCAATATGCTTTTTCACGCGTTTGGGGTGCAAATCATTGGGCTGGGGTGCAAATAATTGGCGATAAAATCAAACTTATTCTCGTGCGGGTTTTATTTTGTAATTTTTGTACTCCAATTTGAATCATGATTCGTGATTTGCTACACAATTTTTTCTCACAAAAATACACGTAAATCGAAAATAATTTTAATCTCATGATTCTAATCTATGAACCAAACGTCTCCTAAAAAAGCATTAGTATAGGATTTATAACTCTACATTAGTACAGGGTTTATAACTATGCATTAGTGCAGAGTACGTTTTAGAATGTTGACATACCTTAGAGCAGGGTTCCGCCAATAGGAAGGGCATGCTGTGCTACAACAAGCACACAAAATACACTCATACAACCCATCTAGCTTTTTCCTGTCCGCTGGTGAGTGCCTGTTTCCCTACCGTCCTCTGGGGCCTTTGTTGTCTTTAGCCATGGCTCAATCATCCTATCTTATCCACATTTTCATAAATTAAGATGATTCCCACATTAATTCATGGAAAAATTACACTAACAGCCCTCTAATTAACGTTAAAATCCTCCATTACCAACTCATTAATCTATCTTATTTGGGCATTTTTGTCATTTCACCTTAAAAGTTAAGAGAGTCGGTTAAAGATGCATCACTCTAATGTTGAGATAAAAGTGAGGGGCTTTAGGACGGAACATGGGAGTATAATTAGTTTGAAAACGAATCGCACTTTCCAATTAACCAGTTTTCCATTTTTCTTTTCTGTCTAGCATAACGCCAATTAGGCTCAAGACTTTAGAACTATATAATCATGACCTCCTAACTATGGACATTATTGGTATGTACAAATTAGACTTTTCACAAAAAAAGAAAAAACAATACATATTATATGAGTCTTCGTTCACTTTATTAATTTAAATTTTTAATTTTAAATTAAGATGAATGTCACTTTTTAAAAAAATTTAACCATAATAAAATTAAAATTAAAAATTTAAATCGATAAAATTAATAAGAAGTAAGAAACCCAATGAATCTTACTTGTAGGTGGTAGAAACTGGTGACGTCAACGACCAAATATTTGATGACATACATGTGAGGCAAAGGGGTAATCATAGTAGCCTTTGAAGTGTTTGGTTCAATGGGCTTTAAACATGCTACGGTATTGGTCCCATCAATGTTCATTGAGCATGACCCACACCGCATATCCCTTCCCTGCAAGACCTCCTATTATTCAAGCTCGGATCTTCCCCTGCTTTTATCTTCTGCAACGCATCCAACACCTAAAAAAAAAAAAAAAAAAAAAAAAATCCCAAAAACCCCATTTGCTGTAATTAATAAACTCATAAAAAGAATATTTTAATACCCAAATATAAACGGAATAAGTAATATGCAAAAGAAGGGTTCCTACTTCCTACCACAAAAATTTTTGAAAAAAAAAAAAAAGTGATTGTCATAACTATTAATAAGTAAAGCATAAAATATAGCGATGAACACACTTTTATCAAAATTCTACTTTTCACAGGTTCAACGGTTTTGTCCAAATTCTTTTATCCATAACACTGTTTTTCACTTTTATAACATGTTGTATAATACTGTTGTTTGATAACAAGAATCATTAATTGTCATAATTAATTAGGAAAAGAATTCACCATAGGGCAACAGTTGGAGAGGTCAACAAAGAAGGATTGGAGATAGGGTTTGTTGTTGGGATGGTCAGGATTCCATCTGTATATCTTGAACTCCTTTAAGAGCTGAGTGGCTTTCTCTACGACGGATTCATGGGCCTCAACTGCTCCTTCTGCGTGTTTTTGGGCCGCAGGGTGGCCTTCTAGAACCGGAAAGCTTTGATTCTTTGGATCAACTTTGCCGAGAACACGAGCTACCTTGTTGTAGCTTTGTCGAATCCAGTTATTTGACATCTCTCTCTCTCTCTCTCTCTGTATATATATATATATATCTGTATTTTGTATAATGTATATGTATATGTGTATGTTTTCGGTAGGCTTCTTTCTCTCAATGATTGTAGTGAAGGTGAAATTAAAACGTGTTTATTTATCGATTTGAGTTTAAAATTTAAATTTTAATATAGTAAAAAATTTTTAAAAATAATTATATTTAATTTTTTTATTATAATAAAATTTTTTTTTACATAAAATTATATGTTAATTCAAATTAAAATTTTAAATTAACGAACTAAATAGATGAAAGATGAGAAGTGGTGTTTGCTTATTCAAAAATGTCTTGCATGGATAGAGACACGTGTTTCCAAAGCTGGCATGTGTTGCAATACAAGGACACAACGTGGTGGCCTACTTCAACAACAACAACACACACAGAACTTCAAAAGTAGTGTATTTCTAGTGATTAATGCGTCTCACGTCACAGTATTTTCAGTGATTAATAGTGTCTTGAATGCTAAATTTGATCAAATTCAAATTAAAGTGAAGAGAATATTAAAATCAAATAAAATTTCTATAATTCGAAACAATACCTTATCAATAGACCTAACAAATTAATTCTCACCGGATAACATGATTAAACGTGCCTAAATTATCAGTAAATATCGGTAAAAATGTACGCTTATAAGTAGTTATATGTTTGTACAAAATTCAAGATCCTCTCTCGACCAAAATTATAGCAATGCACTTCTCGAATTTTAAAATATAACGTATGTTCTTCTTAAATTATGAAATTAAAAATGTAACCTGAAGGTGAATAATTAAGATATTAACTGTGGAAGCATAAAGAGAGAGAAAATTAGAGTAATAAAAGAAAATGAGTGCTGTCTTACAAAAGACAAAAGTAAATTTTTAGGAAAAAGGAGAAGAAGAAAAGAAAAATAATAATATTCTCACGTTATATTTGGTAGCAATATATATATATATATATATATAT